TCCCTCCCTGGGGCTTCCGCTTCCGGCTCTGACGGACTCTTCGGCCGTAACGATGATCGGGGATATCCTGCTGTTCGGGTAATGAGGGGCCCCAAAGGCTGGGGAAGTAGAACCAGACGGGGAGCAAGGGGAAGCCCTAGCAACCGTAATTCTCCTTCCGCAGGACGCTGCTCATGAACGCCGGGGCGGTGCTCAACTTTAAGCTGTGAGTAGGCCGCTGGGTCGTGGCCCCTCCGAGAGACCCGTAGCCCCGCCCTCGTTAACGTGAACCCGCACCACGCCCCTGGCCCCGCCCCCGCGCTCAGACCACGCCCCCACCCATCTGGCCACGCCTCTCGCCGGTTTATCCTCCGCTGACCCTGCGCTCCGCCCAGGACTTCTTACGCTTTAGTTCCTGGCTATCCCTCTCTGCTCACATCCCGGGAGAGTCCCAAAGAAACTGCCCTAGCTTGAGCCTCCCCCCCGCCACATCCTGTGGACTATGCTGTCCACCTTGTACGTGGACTGCAGGCTTGGCCTGATTTGCTGGGGAAGCGTTGGCCCAGAGAGGGACGTTGGTCCTCCGGAGGTCACACAGCAAGTCAGCATGGGTAGAGCTGAAGCTTCGTGCGTATGATCCTCTGAGCTGCATGCCAGGATTAGAGCGTTGAGCTGAGTGGTCTTTATGTCTTCTTGAAAGTGGACACACTGTCTGCTCATCTTTGTAGGAAAAAGAAGGACACGCAGAGCTTTGGGGAGGAGTCCAGGGATCCCAGTACAGGTAAGGCCTTTCTGGATCCTGAAATTGCATGGCCATTTTCAGAGAGGATCATTCTTGTCAATAACTCCTGCCCCAGTTTTCGTTCTGTTTTTTTTATTTTTTTAACTCTTGAGTTGGAGAGAGGGACAGTGAGAGGGAAAGTGAGAAATCAACCCCCTGGGGGGATGGCCACGCTGCAGTCCTTACTGCTTCATTCTCCTCTCGGGATCTTGGGCAGGCACATGCTCACGCCCAGTGTGGTTTTCAAGCCACTGGTCCAGGACTCCGACCACGGCTGGCCATATGGGAGTCCAGTGATGTAACCTCTACGCCATCTGCTATCTCTTCGTGTCTTTATTTTTTAAAAAAATTATTATTTATTTATTTTAATTTGACCAGACAGAGAGAAAGAGAGAGAAAGCAAGCTGCCAGGTCTGGGACTTGAACCATAGTCCACCATGTGGGAGTCCAGAGCCCTTAACCACCATACCATATGCTAGCCTCCCTTCACATCTTTTTTTTTTTTTTTTTTGGAGAGGTTTTGCTACAGGGCACGTGCGCTTGCCGGAGAGACAGAGAGAGACAGAGAGACAGAAAGCGAGAAGTCACCCCCTGGGGGGATGGCCACGCTGCAATACCTTCTCCTCCATTCTCTTGGGATCTTGGGCACGCACGCATGCTCCTAGCGTGAGTTTTAAGCCACCGGGTCTGGGACGCGAACCACAGTCGACTACATGGGAATCCAGCGACATAGCCATTACGCTAACTGCTGGTCCCAAGATTTTTTTTTTTAATCAGAGGGAGAAGAGAAAGTACCCCCCTATACACACACACGCACACGCACATATGGCATGGTCATGCCACAATCCCTTCTCCATTTCTCCCTTCTTTCAGGATTTTGGGCAGGCATGCTCACTTGCCTAGTGTTTCTCAAGCTGCTGAGTCTGGGATTGGAACTATGTGGTTAACCACGTGAGGTCCAGCCGCATTAACCTCCAGGCCAAGGAACCAGCCCTAAATTAGATTTTATATTAAAAAAAAAAAATTCAGATGTCTGATTTTCCTTGAAGAATCCGAACATGCTGCAACTCCAGATTCGGGGACTCTTGGTGTCTACTGAGGAGGGCTGAGGAGCAGGACCATGTGGCGGGATGGCCTGTGGACTCCACTTTCTCCCAGCTCAGACTCCTCCTTTTTATATTTTCTTCCCTCCCTGGCTCCTAGAATCCCCACAATTTGAACTCCTCGCTGACTTTTTATATTTAAGAGAGTTTTTTTTTTTTTTTTTTTTTGCTATAGGGCATGTGCTCTCGCCAGGGAGACAGAGAGAGAGAGTGAGAACTCACACCCCCTCAGGGGGCGTGGCCATACCACAGTCCCTTCTCCATTCTCCTCTCGGGATTTTGAGCATGCACACAAGTACACTCGGCATGATTTTCAAGCCTCTGGGTCCGAGACTTGAACTGCGGTCGGACACGTGGGAGTCCAGTGCCCTAATCACCAAGTCAACTGTTGGTCCCACCTACTGAATCTATTTTGTGTCTGTCTGGAGTCTAAGGGACACAGAACTCATTTGTTCATTTGTTCCTTCATTCATTCTCCAGACATTCCTGGTGTACCTGTTATTTGCGGGTCACTGCGCTGGGTACTGGGCTAAGCAGGGAACAAAACAGACGTGGTCTCTGCCTTGTAGGACTTGCCATGGGTGGGACAGGTGGTCCCTAACAGAAGGAAGTGGGGAAGACGACGTCAGGTGAGGAGGGCGGTCACAGGGGGTTCTGGGACAGCGATGGGGTTGCTGCTCTGGCTGGAGCGTGCAGAGGAGGCAGCAGGCGCCGTGACGGAGCATTGCACGGGGGCGGTGGGCACCCTGAGGAGCAGAGGTTTGGAAGACAACCTAGCTGTTCTCCCTTATGGGGTGGTTGCCCTGTTCAGTGCTTCCTCCTGGAATTTGATTCCACCTCCATTCCTGAAAAGGAAGGGTCATTTTCCCGTTTCACAGATGTGGCTTGGCTGGCTCATAGCCACAGCAATTCAAGGACAGAATTAGGATGGGAGGGAACCAGCAGTTAGCATAATGGCTATGTCGCTGGACTCCCACGTAGTCGACCGCGGTTCGTGTCCCGGACCCGGTGGCTTAAAACTCACGCCGGGCGCGTGTGCGTGCGTGCCCAAGATCC